TAACAAAAATATAATAAACATATAATACACAACTAATTTATGCAAATTTAAAAAATTAGAAAAATTAAATATAAAACTTAAAATTAAGAAATTAAAATTGCATACATTAAAATATTAAAAATAAAAGTGTAACAAAACTAAAAAGTAAAATAAATTAAATTTCTCCTGAAAGTTAAAATTAACTTATATTCTTCAGTTTTTTTATAAGTCCTATCATATCAATTCTTCAAAAGTTAAGTTGCATAATTTAATTATAACTTAAAAAAAATTATTCATGCACCTCATTATTTTTACTTACAAATATTTTTAAAAAAAGTTTGTTTAAACAATGCCCATATCATATTAGTTAACAATATAAGATAATGTAAATTTCTATCAATTAACCGTTCGTTTAGGTGATCCTAATTGAGTTTCTGTTTATATCCAAGTTTGTTTTCCATTTTTCATATAGTAAATAGTAAGAGTGTTGACATAACTGGTGGGAACTGCCGCTGAATTAATAAAGAAAAACAGCATTATGGTTTGGCCTATATATGTAGTCCCATTTTGAGCGAAGTTTCATCTTAACAATACAATATAAGGACAAGTATTAATAAAATATTTTTAATACATTTGTAATATATATTTTTATTATTAATTAAAATTTATTAAAAATTATTTAACTATGAGTATAATTCATTAAAAACATAAATAAGATTTATATATAAAGTTTAAATAATATATAAAAAATGTAATAGAAAGTATGTTATTAACAAATTTTAGATAAGCAAAAGCATTTGCATTGTACAGATTGATTTGATCAATCACATAGGCTATCATTTCCTCTCGCAAGCAATTCGCCAACTACAAGTAAATTTGGTGGTTCCACACATTAATATTTTTATCCATACGATATATTACCAGCTGTGTGAAGAGAGATCGCCGGTAACAAATGTATATACCGGCCGGTATCACGACGAGGTTAAGTATTCGTTGAGTAATATTAATTTTAATAAAATTAATTTTGAATTACTGAATATATATATATATATATATATTAAATATATGTTTTTATTAAACGGTATAAATGTTAATTTTTTAATTTTAAACTGAAGAAGTCGTAAGCTCATGATGTATGTTAGGGTCTAGACCATATTCTATTTATGATGGTTTGTATGGAAATTAAAGATCTTAATGTATGAAATATTATATTTATTTCACTGTTTCAGTGATTTTCTTTTCATTTTTTATGTCTGAATAAATTGCATTTTCTTTTTGTTTTAAGTTTTTTCAATTTATTTGTTATATTTTTATGTCATTGAACTCGTCTTTATTTTTTTTATGTCACTTGATACTTTTATAGTGGTACTTTTTTGTATCATTATATCTATCATATGGAGGTTTATTGACAGAAAAAAAATATAAGAGATAATATATATATATATATATATATATGTCTATATATATATATATTAAATATATATTTTCAATTAAAAAGTATAAAAACTAATTTGTAATTAATTTTAAACCAAACATGTCGTAAGCTGCTGGTTATGCTTGGGTCTTGACCATATTCTATTCATGATCGTATGTATGAAAATTAAAAATCTTAATGTATGAAAGATTTAATCTATTTCACTATTTCAGTGCTTTTCTTTTTCTTTTTTGTCTGAATAAGTTGCACTTATTTTTGTTTTACGTTTTTTAAATTTATTTGTTATAATTTTTATGTCATTAAAGCTTCTTTATTTTGTTTTTATATCACTCAACACTTTTCTAGTGTTACTTTTTTTTTTCATTTTATTTATAATAAGGACGTTTATTGACAAAGAAAAAAAGTAATGAGATAAATTTAAAAAAGTATATAAAATTACAAGAGAATACAGTCTAATTTACCCAAATAATTAATTCCTTGAAAGACATTTTCATTTTGTAAATTTTGACATTTTAAAAGATAATATACAATTATAATTTGATTATTTAGTAAAAATTATTAAGGTTAATAACAGTGATATGCTAAAAGACTAGTTCATAATTGTTTGTTGTTGCCAAGATGTTATTTATATTAAAAAGCAATAAATTGAAGTATTTTTCATCTATCAAAAACAGAAAAATATAATTTTTCAAAATTAAAATGATAGTCTAATTATGTGAGCATCTTAATTACTTGAGATAAATATAAATGTAATTTACCTTTAATTTTCTTTTTGGAACGATTCAGAAAACATTGTCTCCGATACCATTTATAGAGCCATGGGAACCCGAAAGTAGGGGCACTTACGCCAAGAGACTACAGCAACAATCATAAGAGTGAACATATATGACACTACTCATTACATCTTTACCAAAAACTTAAAAACATTCGACACATAAATTTATATTATTTCATTCATCTTTAATTAATGTGAAACTTCAAACTCATACTCAAATTTCAAATATAATTAAAGGCTCATCAATTTTTATTTTATTTTTGCTAATCCATATCATCAATTTAATGTTATCCTTATCTATTTTGCCGAAGCTAAATTGCTGAAATAATGCTTTTAAAATCAGAAAGTCACTACAATAGATGCAATGATACAATACTGATATTAAAAACAAAAGATATAATACTGAACCATTTCGTTTTCAAACCTTTCAATTCCTTTTTCTTAATTGTTTGACACCCTTCTTTTGTCATTAATTAAACATACCAGTTATTGCTTTGAAGAATTACCTTTCTATTTCATTTTGTTATGAGTTCACATAATCTTTGTTTTGACATATTCAATGGTCATAACTAGTTTACTTTTTTTTTTTTAATTTTTCTTTTAATTATCTTATTTTATTTTTTTCTTATTTTTAAAAAGTGTATAGAAAATAGTAATTTTTATTTTATTTTCATTATTTCTCATGCAAGTTTTAAAAAATAAGAAACAAAGTAAAATAATATAACATTTTTGTAATTAAAAGTAAAAAAAAAAAAGGTTTTCAAATCAAATGACTCCTTAATTTATATATATTATGTTATAACTTTTTCCTTCCTTAATACCCAGTCTGTAGTCATAAATTTTCCTATATAATCAATAAAAGAAAACTTATTTATGATGATCTTTTACATGGAGTATGAAAATGGAGAAAGGCTCATATGCTGAGCCTATGCAGCTATGCTGAGTCAGCCTCCAAATATGGATGACCACTCCATAATGATTATAAAGCTTTTATGCATAAGATGTATCTCAAGAGCAAAAATATTTATGAATTTAACTATTGGAATTCAAATGCTATGATAAGCACGATATCTTTAATTAAATTATTAACAAAAGTTAAGAGTGTTATGAGCTGATAGTTCACATAACCTTGATCATAATCTTTATCATGATACTTGCCGTTTGATTTTAAAAAAATATTTCCAAATTTTTTATTACAAAAATATTATCGTATTTTGATTTTATTATTTTTAAAGTATCTGTCTAAGAAAAAATAAATTTTTTTCTTTCATTGTTCTTATATAAGCTTTTAAAAATAAAAATAAAACAAAAATAATATCATATTTTTGTAATTAAAAATTAAATAGAAGTTAAAAATAAAAAAGAATTCTCAAATCCATTATTTTTAAAATTAATTTTTAAACTTGATTGACAAACAATTTTTTATTTTTTTAAAAAAAGGAAACTGTATTTACAAACGTACTCGTAATCGCTTACTTTTTCCTCTTTCTTACTTTTGTTAACTTTTCCACCATTTAAGCTATTCCCTTCCATTCACATATGCAAATACTAAATAAAATATTGTTGAAGGCTACGTACATGTCATTAAAATAAATTGATATGCTTTTAATCCATATAGTGCAAATTTAACCACCCTATCTAATGATTATTGAAGCATGTAATAACGAGATAGTATGCATATTGCATAATATAAGAAGGCCAAAAAGAAAACTAGAAACTAGAAGAAGCTGTCTGGAAACCGAAAATCCTAATATTCTGATGTAAGCATATATGAAGCTAGTTGGGCTGAGTCTGAAAGTCACACAATTAAGCCATTCACTTCCCTATCGCAGAAAACCTAAATTTGCAGTAGCCATAGCTTATTTCAGTTACTTGTGAAAACAACGGTTCATAATAATGGAGGAGGGAAGGTAAGTGATGAGTGATGAGTGATGAGCTCATAGCCTAGAAAATCATTACCACGTACCCTCCCACTGTACTCTAAGAAACTAAAGCTAGCTATAGCATCCATCTTATGAGAAGGAGAAAGAAAGAAGCTCTTGTATTCACCCTGTGACGACTCTTACCAATTTTAGGTAATGACCAACCTTGTCCTTGGGGGGTCGCCAATATCAACACCTGAGTTTAAGAACTAGCAAGCTCAAAGGCCTGATCAAACTGATCAGGTTTCATGAGTGGCTCTTCCGTACAAAACATCAATATTTTGGTCCCTAGCTAGCTATGTGGTACACACACATAATTCACAACTGCAGCAATAAGATGCAATGCATCATATGCATGTGACAGTGTTTTTCAGTACTCACCAAGACGACTAACATACGTCTTCTTTTCAACCCATTTCAGTAAAAGATCAAATTCGTACCATATTAATATTTTCAATAATAACTAATAAGTAGCTATAATGCGTGTTTGTTAAACCTAACCCGCTTTAACTTCTCTAAAGATGCTAATTAATCATTAATTAACTAACCAATATTGCATGTCTCTTTAAAGTGCATAATTAATTAACTACTTCATAATTAAAAAACGTTAAGGCTAACACTTACAATATACTAAACCAAATGATAGGTGATATATAATGCAGAGCCAAGCATCAAAACCAAATCCCACATCATAAAATTAAACCGCGAATCAATTTATGAGAAACTAAACGGTAAAAACCTTCACATATGGCAAAGCAATTAATTATAGGCAAAAAATACGTACTCTTGCTAAAATTGAACGTATATCTCTTCTCAAACCCTAATTAAGAAGGATCCTCAGCAAAATCACACCAAAATTGAATATTGACCTCAATATCAAAGCAATCAAACTTGTGCCTGCATGTATTGGAAAATGTATAAAAATATATATAATATAAAATTAACAAAATTAGTACCAACAAAATAAAAAAAGCTGCAGCAGCAGGTCATACACTTGCAACATCATTCTTACTATCTCCACAATGTTCCTCGTTGGCCGGAATAGGCCTATACCCATTAAGGGACGCAATTATACCCAAGTTGCTTTCAGGGAGCATTGCACCACCTGAACCTAGCTGTTGACCAGGCAATAGAGACATTGGAGAAGCAAAATTCATAAAATGAATCCCACCAGCAGAAGAGTTAGAGTTGGACACAGTCCCTTTATACAAACCACTATTCCCAACGGAGGGAATTGCACAAATGGAATCACAACCACTCATCATCCAAAAACTCGCTGGAACCGAAGCATTACTCGCTGGAATCGACCCAGTACTCGACTGCGACAAACAGCTTCCTAAATGACTCGGTGACGCTGTCACTTCCTCTTCACCTTCCCTTCTCCTTCTCTTAACAGCATTGCCGTTACCAACAGAATCGAAATTGAAAAAACAGTTGGCGTCGGGGAACAAGGCCCTTCTAGAATCTTGCAGAACCAGGTTGTTTCTAGAAGAGAATGGTGGTGGTGGTGTTGAGAAGGGGTTGTTATTATTGTTGGTGAAGTAGTTACTGGTGACGTGGCGGTTGAAGAAGTGAGAGGGAGAAGAGAGGGAGGAGCCGGCGCTGCGGAGCGAGATGTTGAGAGAAGTGAAGTTGGCGGGGATTGTGCCGGTGCCCGTGGCGGCGATCACGGCGGGCTCTGCCTGTTGGAGCAGCCACTCGATGGTTTCGCCGTCGGACTTGTGGCCGAGCTCGCGCGTCAGCTGGAACACCCTGGCCGCGCACGCCGCCGGCATCCGGATTCGCCGCCCCCGACCGTCGACCTTCGTGTGCCTGTCCTTCATGGACGTGCGCTTCGGCGGCGGCTTCTTCGGCGCGGCGCTGGCTTCAATTTGGCGCTCATCGTTTTTCTCTAACAGTTGTAATGGGAAATTGGGCCTGTGGATCCCGTTTTGACTATGATGAGGATCACCTTCCATAATAATAATAATAATTTAATGGACTGATATAGAAAAAGATAAAGAAATGCTATATTTTCTCTCTCTTATTGTGGAGGATATGGTGATGGTGATGATGTTCCTGGGATATGATGTTTTGGTGGAGCGTTTTCTCTCTGTGTGTGGCTTGGTGGGCTAGCTAGTGGGTCTATCTGTGTGTTTTGTGGAGCATGGATTTGCTTTCCAATGGGAGGTGGCAGCTGTTGTTCTCTTTCCAGAGAAAAAGAGAGTGCCAGAGAACGAGCGAGAAGAGGGCAAGCTTTAAGCGACAAAAATAATGAGTGCCAATAATAACGGCACTGTGATATTTTATTTTATTTTTCATCATTTAGAGCCTTTTTTCTCTCCTTTATTATTACCTTTTTTGGGAATTCAGTGTTTCTTTCACCAAAATATAATAGGTGTCATGTATACGGCTATAAATGAGTTTTAGCGTGACAGGTTGGTTGAATTGTAAAAATATAATTAATCTCACAAATATCTTTTAGGTGTATGTAGTGATATCTTAAAATTTTTTATGCATATCGTAATTAAAAAATTTATACTAATAATAAAGAAAATATGTAACAAATTAAAAAATATTATTATATATAATTTATTTAAAATTATATTACTTATATTATTTGTTACATAATCATATTATTATTGTTATAATATATATATATATATATATTTTATATATTACATTTCTTATTATTTTTATTATTTTTTATAAATTTTTAGTTTTAAATAAAATATAATTTATGTTTAAACAATTTCTATTTATTATAAATAAAAAAAATTATAACATAATATATTAATATAATAATTAAATATTAATAATAATAAAATTAAGAATATAAAAAATATATTATAATATTATTATTTTATTTTTAAATTTTATTCTGTTTAGTTTTAATTGCTTCCTGATCTTGTTTGAAGACTTAATTACTGTTTAACTTGTTCAAATGTAATAAATATAATAATTTATTATTAAATAAATTTATTATTTAAACATATTTAAATATTATTAATTAGAATTTTTGTGTACGGTACCCTAAAATTTTTTAAGGGTACCACAAAATTTAGCTGTTTTTTATTATTTTGATCTAACTGATGCTGAATTAGGTTAGTTAGTAAATGCATGGATGTGAATTCACTCTAGTTAATACGAGACTGGATGTCTAGTTTCATTTTTACTTAAGCGAAAATGGATTTGTTTAAATAAAAATGTAAAAAATGATAATTTTTTTAATGCAAAATTAGCTTAAACAATTTTTTTTGGTATTATTTCAGCTTAAGCAAATTCTACGTCTTCTTTCTCAATATTCTCTTCTCCTTCTCTTCATGTCTAACACTCTCTCTTCCTCTCTCAACTCCCTTTTCCCTTTACTCCATGCCCAACTCCTCTCTTCTTCTTCCTAGTCTCACCCCTCCTCGTATCTATCTTTCTCTCTTTCTTCCATACCTAACTCTCTACCCTCCTCTCCTTCTACCACCATTTCTATACCACTATTCTCCTTATTTCTATCTATCCTTAGTCTTCTCTTTTCCTACACTTAGCCTCTATCTCCTCAAATGCACAAATTTTGCTTAAGGAAAAATAATTCGCTTAAGCTAATTTTGTATAAATTTTTTTTCTTTTCTATGTTTTCATTTAAACAAATTCATATTCACTTAAGCGAAAATGAAAATGGACGTCCAATTCTCGGGTTAACTAGAGCAGATCCACATCCTAAATGCATACATAAACACAAAAGGAATGAGATCTATTGTCCTTGTGAATAAGCTGAGTATATTATCTGAACTAGTTAAATTTTACTTCCAAATTTTTTGAAGTAGGTTGTCTTGATTCATTTTATTTTTATATGTGAGTTATAAAATATAATATAATTTTAAGACAACAAATGTGTATTAACACTGAGTACTAGCTCTTAAATAATTGATTAAGCATTATCAAAGTTAAGATACCAGGTTTGAAGCAAAAAATATGTGATTATATTTTTATAAAATAATATAAAATTTCAATATGTTTGTACAATGTTTCAACTAACTATTCAATCAATTTTAATATTAATTAAAATAATCAATGGTCAAAATTAGAATTCAATGAAAATATTCTTAATCGTGTATTTTAATATCTTATTTTAACTGATATAATTGCTCAATTTTTTTACATTAGTCATAATAAAGAGATTAAAAAAAGAAATTTATCAATTTTATTATTAATTTAAAGAAACATTAAATTTTGACTAAATGTAATAGTTTAATAATAAAAGAACTAATTTTGATAAAAAAAAATTCAAGAACCAAATTAACAAATATATAATTAAAGGATAAAAATATTAAATTTATCAAAAAAAAGTTTAAATTGCTTTTATTTTAATACTTTTCTTATTCTACAGAATTGTAAAATAAGTTTGACACTTTCACACTTTTACTCTCTTAACATATCCTAACACTTTTCTTTTCATAATAAAATATAGACTTAAATATATTATCGGTCTCTATAAATATAGGTCATTTTGTGATAAGTCTATATAAATTTTTTTGTTGGAATGTAATCCCTGCAAAGTTAAAAATTTAAGATTTAATCTCTGTAGTTAACCCTATCTCTGTTAAGTGCTGAGCTGGCTAACGGAGAGCCAGTTAGCACTCCACATGGCCCAGTCATAGCCTATGTAATTGCATAAAAACCTATTTTTTTTATTTAAAATTAAAATTTACAAATAAGTTCCTAAACCTACACTACTAGAAAAGCGCTATTTACAGATGAATTTTACAAACAGATTTGTGAATTTTTTTTTTTTTTGGAAAATCGGTCTGTAATATAGACGGATTTTAATCTAGCTGTAAAATTCGTATGTAGTTTGCCTGCCATTTGGCACGAAATGGTATAGACAAGAATTACAGACGAATTTTTCCGTCTGTAATTTAAAAATAGGAGGGAATTTTATAGCGGGAGTTATAGACAAATTTATCTGTCTGTAAATATGGTCGTTTTTAACCAACCTTTCAGGTGGCAAATTTTAGACGAATTTTTCTGTCTGTAAATGGACTTGACAGACGGGAAAATTCGTCTGTAAAAGGTTTAATGAAACGGTGCGTTTCAGGTGACAAATTTACAGACAGACCGTTTCATTAAACCTTTTACAGACGAATTTTTCCGTCTGTAATGACTTAAACCCATAAAACGGCACCTCCCCCTTCCCCTTCCTCATTTTTTCATAACTCTCTCTCTCTCTCTCTCGCCCCTCTCTCTCTCTCTTTCTAGGAGCTCAGTGTTTTGGCCTTTGCAAGTGATTAGGGCATCCTTTTGAAAGATTTTTTGCATCATTGTATTCCTGGTACGATACTCTAACTTTTAATCGGTTTAGTTTTTTAAGTTTTTTAGAGACTTAAAATTTCTAAGATAGAGTTGTAGGATTGGAGATTGTATGACTGGGGAGGAAGGGCGTAGAGGTCCTTTTTCGAATCTGATTATTGTGTGTTGTGAGATTGTTTGTGTTTGTGGAGTTTATAGAATATGCATGTTGTGGAGTTACAAGAGGATGTGCTCTAGAATAATTTAGGATTGTGATGTGTTTGTGTTTGATGTATTAATTAATATATTGTTATATAATATATTAGTTATGTGTGGTGAAATTTTGAATTTTGTAAAAAAGTGGTAAACAAATGTAAGGAAATTGACATGTATTATGAGAGATTCTGCCAAAATTTATATTAAAATTCAGTGTAATGTATAATAGAAGGTTGATACCACATTGTATATTTGTATTAGGTTTATATAGTTCTTGAGGAAGATGTTTCTCATAAATCGTCAGTGGATGTATGATAGGTTACACCTAAGTCAGGGAGAATAAAACTTGAATTCTTTGAAGGTGTAGAGGAATTCATACGTGTCTGTTGTAATTTGCAACAATTCATCACCAATCAAAAGTTAGGTGTCCATGTTCTAAGTGCAAGTGTAGAAAGTTTTTGGATATTGATTTAATCAGATATGATTTGTATAAGTTTTGATTTAAACATGATTATTGAATATGGACTGAGGATGGGAAAGTAGTTAATTTGGAAAATCAAGTAGGTAATTAAAATATATTGCAATCAGGAGAGGATGTAGGTAATGTAAGTTGGGAAGAAAGCAATAGTCGTTATCAAGAAATGGTTTATGATGTTGTTGGTCCTCAATTTGGAATTTTTCGTGATTTTGAAGCTGAACAAGAATCTAATGGAGAGACTGTAAAGTTTTATAATGTTTTAGAAACAACAAACAACCTTTATAGGATGAGTGTGTGCATTCAGAGTTATCTTTAGCAGTAAGAATGTTAAGCATAAAGTCAGAAGGCAATCAAAGTCAGAGTTCATTTGATCAATGAGCTACATTAATTAGTGAGCTTAGTCCCCAACCTGACTCCATCCCAAAGGACTTTTACCAAGCAAAAAAATTAGTTTCCAAACTTGGATTAAAAGAAGTCAAAATTGATTGTTGTTTGAAAGGCTGCATGCTGTATTACAAAGATGATGCTATTTTGACCAATTGTAAATTCTGTGGAGAGCCTAGGTTTAAACTAAGAAGAGGTGGTAGAAGTGGTAAACATAAAGATGTACCGTAAACTAGAATGCATTATTTATCTTTGATTCCTAGGCTAAAAAGGTTGTATGCATCTATGAGTTCAGTTCCTTACATGACGTGGTATGATGAAAATAAAAGGAGTGATGGGATAATGACTCATCCATCTCATGGTGAGGTTTGGCAACATTTTGATCAAGTATATCCTGAGTTTGCATCTGATCCTAGAAATGTAAGGTTAGGGTTATGTGCTGATGGGTTCGCTCCAAACAATCAATTTAATAAACCATATTCTTGTTGGCCTACACCTTTTAATCTTCCTCCTGAAATGAACATGAAAAATCCATATTTATTCTTAACTTGTATAATTCCTGGTCCAGAAAATTCAAAGGCTAAAATTGATGTATACCTTCAACCTTTGATTGATGAGTTGAAAGAGTTATGGTATGAGGGTGTAGTAACTTATGACCTATCAAGGAAGCAAAATTTTATCATTAAGGCAGCACTGATGTGGACGATAAATGACTTTCCTACTTATGGAATGTTGGTTGGATGGATGACTCAAGGGAAGTTAGCATGTCCAATTTGTATGAAGAATACAAAGGCATTTACTTTAAAACATAGAGGAAAAAATTCATGGTTTGATTGCGATAGGAGATTTTTAGATATGGAACATCCTTATAGGCGTCAAACCTACAAAT